CCTCTACACCTTTCTGTTTGGTACTCTACTTCAAGTACTAATTTTAACAGAATGGCTCCCACCTTTGACACCCATTTGATATCTCTTAGGCCAGAGTTCTAAGAGATATCAACGCAGGTGTTATATTTCCATTATATATTTCATGAACATTTTCACATGAATGGCACGCCTGAAGGTCAAGTTCAGTGTCAAAATAAAAATTAGTCCCTTTTTTCCCATGCCAACCTCTACTTCAACAATTCTATCAATAATTCTACCACCTACTTAACCATTTAGGCTCAAAACTGGGCGACTGCCCAGGCAGGAAGAGCTAATATAGCAGGCCTGAGACTACCTATGCTCAGAAAGCGCTGCTTGTAAGGTTAACCCATGGCTAGAACCTCAGTACTTGTACTTCAGAAGGGTTTCTACCATCCCCAGAACTACTGGACTGGCTCACTATGCCCCAAACATTTGTGCAAATAATGTGGTTTATGTTGCAACTCCAGTGTTCTCTCTGGGAATCTGGAATCTAGGAATATGCAGCTCGAGGGTGCTGATGGACCAGGCCCCAGTAAAAACTCTGGGCACTCAAGTCTCTAAGGACCTACCCTGATAGACAACACTTCTCAGTTTGCAACAATTCTTCTCAGAGGAATTAAGTTCCTCAGGCAGCTTCACTGGGAGAGGACTCCTGGAAATGGGCACCTGACTTCCTCAGACTTTGCTCTGCACATCTATCCCCTTTGATGATTTTGCCTTGTACCTTAATATGTAATATATCATAGTGCTGAATATAACTGTATGATGAGCGTCATGTGTCCTGCTAGTGAATCACCATATCCTCAGGTAATCCTGGGAACTTCTGACACTTAATTTTCTCTTTCACCTAGATGTCAATCATCTGCAAGCTCTTCTTGATTCAACATCTATTATCTCACTTCTCATTCAGTTTTTCCTCTCCATTTCCATTGTTACTGTCCTATTTAATTTTAGATTACTACACTGATCTTTTATAACTTTTTATTTCTCCACTTAGCTTCTTAGAATGTTATTCTGATAAATTCATTTCTTAGTTCTAAAATCTTCAGTGGTAATTTATTTTGCCCTAGGACAAAGTCCAAAATCCTAAGCCTGGAGTGTATAACCAACCACTGGTTGGCTCCTAACTATTTCAAACTTATTTTCTACCACATGACACAACATCCTCTCCACTTAACCCAAACCAGTGCCTGCTGATTCCCAAGTCATTCTCTCCAGACTTTAGCCACAGTGTACAACTGTCACCACCACTCCCCACACCAGCATGAACACTGTCCAACCATCAAACACCACTCCCTACACCTGCATGAATCCACAGAGTCTAAGTTCCAGTGTCACCTCCTATATGAAGCCTTCCTGCATAATTTTACCTAAATATAACCATTCCTTTTTTCTGAATTTTAATAGGATTTTAGCTGTTTCTTTCTAATGGCACTTATCTTACATTCCTACACTCGAGAACCCCTTTCCTCCAGAGCATGGTCTATTTCAGATAAACTTTTCTGTCTCCCTACCGAGTCATGCCACCACCAACCCACGCTTCCACCAGAGACTCCTGGACACTCGCAGGCAAGTCTGAGTCAGTCTCTTGTGGGGTCACTGCTCCTTTCTCCTGGGTCCTGGTGCACACAAGGTTCTGTGTGTGCCCTCCCAGAGTCTGTTTCCCCAGTCCTGTGTCAGTTCTGGTGGCTCTATGGTAGGGTTAATGGTGACCTCCTCCAAGAGGGCTTATGAATGGACTGGAATGCAAAAGTAGCAGTCAAGAAATACCTGGAGTAATAGGCAAAATTTGGCCTTGAGGTACAGAATGAAGCAGAGCAAAGGCTTAACAGAGTTTTGCCAAGAGAACACACTGGTCATAGCAAACAACCTCTTCCAAAAACACAGAAGACTCTACACATGGACATCACCAGATGGTCAACACCGAATCAGACTGATTATATTCCTTGCAGCCAAAGATGGAGAACCTCTATATAGCTAGCAAAAACACAACCAGGAGCTGACTGTGGCTTAGACCATGAATTCCTTATTGCCAAATTCAGACTTAAATTGAAGAAATTAGGGAAAAACCACTAGACCATTCAGGTATGACCTAAATCAAATCCCTTACGACTATACAGTGGAAGTGACAAAGAGATTCAAGGGATTAGATCTGATGGACAAAGTGTCTGAAGAACTATGGAGAGAGGTTCATGACACTGTACAGGAGGCAGTGATTAAGACCACCCCCAAGAAAAAAAAAGTCAAAATGGTTGTCTGAGGAGGCCTTATAGAGAGCTATGAAGAGAAAAGAAAGGCAAAGGAGAAAAGGAAAGATATACCCATTTGAATGCAGAGTTCCAAAGAACAGCAGAGAGAGATAAGAAAGCCTTCCTCAATGATCAATGCACGGAAATAGAGGAAAACAATAGAATGGAAAAGAATAGAGATCTCTTCAAGAAAATCAGAGATACCAAGGGAACTTTTCAGGCAAAGATGGGCACAATAAAGGACAAAAATGGTACGGACTTAACAGAAGCAGAAGATGTTAAGAAAAGGTGGCAAAAATACACAGAAGAACTGTACAAAAAAGATCTTCACGACCCAGATAATCACAATGGTGTATCACTCACCTAGAGCTAGACATCCTGGAATGTGAAGTCAAATGGGCCTTAGGAAGCATCACTATGAACAAAGCTAGTGGAGGTGATGGAATTCCAGTTGAGCTATTTCAAATCCCGAAAGATGCTGCTGTGAAAATGCTGCACTAAATATGCCAGCAAATTTGGAAAACTCAGCAGTGGCCACAGGACTGGAAAAGGTCAGTTTTCATCCCAATCCCAAAGTAAGGCAATGCCAAAGAATGCCCAAACTACTGTACAATTGCACTCATCTCACACGCTAGTAAAGTAATGCTCAAAATTCTCCAAGTCAGGCTTCAACAGTACATGAACCATGAACTTCCAGATGTTCAAGCTGGATTTAGAAAAGGTAGAGGAACCAGAGATCAAATTGCCGGCCTTTGTTGGATCACTGAAAAAGCAAGAGAGTTCCAGAAAAACACCTACTTCTGCTTTACTGACTATGCCAAAGCCTTTGACTGTGTGGATCACAATAAACTGTGGAAAATTCTGAAAGAGATGGGAATACCACACCACTTGACCTGCCTCCTGAGAATCTGTATGCAGGTCAGGAAGCAACAGTTAGAACTGGACATGGAACAACAGACTGATTCAAAATAGGAAAAGGAATATGTCAAGGCTGTATATTGTCACCCTGCTTATTTAACTTATATGCAGAGAACATCATGAGAAACACTGGGGTGGATGAAGCACAAGCTGGAATCAAGATTTCCAGGGGAAATATCAACAACTTCAGATATGCGGATGACACCACCCTTATGGCAGAAAGCGAAGAAGAACTAAAGAGCCTCTTGATGAAAGGGAAAGAGGAGAGTGAAAAAGTTGGCTTAAAATTCAACATTAAGAAAACTAAGATCATGGCATCTGTTCCCATCACTTCATGGCAAATAGATGGGGAAACAATGGAAACAGGGATAGACTATTTTTCGGGGCTCCAAAATCACTGCAGATGATGACTGCAGCCTTGAAATTAAAAGACGCCTGTTCCTTGGGAAAAAAAGTTATGACCAACCTAGACAACATATTAAAAAGCAGAGACATTATTTTGCCAACAAATGTCGTTCTGACTAGAAGCTTTGACTAAAGCTATGGTTTTTCCAGTAGTCATGTATGGATGTGAGAGTTGGACCATAAAGAAAGCTGAGTGCAGAAGAACTGATACTTTTGAACTGTGGTGTTGGAGAAGACTCTTGAGATTCCTTCCCATGAACTGCAACCAGTCCATCCTAAATAATCAGTCCTGAATATTCATTGGAAGGACTGAATCTGAAGCTGAAACTCCAATACTTTGTCCACCTGATGCGAAGAACTGACTCATTTGAAAAGATCCTGATGTTGGGAAAGATTGAAGGTAGGAAAAGTGGACGAAAGAGGATGAGATGGTTGGATGTCATCACCAACTCAATGGACATAAGTTTGGGTAAGCTCTGGGAGTGGGTGATAGACAGAGAGGCCTGGCAAGCTGCAGTCCGTGGGGTCGCAAACAGTCAGACTCAACTGAGTCAGTGAACTGAACAGAACCATGAAATTCTATGTCCTGCTTAAGTATTTGTTGAATGAAAAGATGTATGAAAAATTAAGATGCAATCTGATGAATACATGCTTCAAGTGTTCAAACTAAAGGAGGAAATATATTCTTAGAGATGATGCTATAAATTGAAATCAGGTGTGGTTGAAATAGTACTACTATTGTCATTCAAGAGTCATACTGTACATTTAATTGTATTTCTAGAGCATTTGAAGCAAAGTACTACAATTAGTCCTATGCAAGATACAAGAATTAAATAAGCTTCAATGGATTGGTCTTGAATCTAATGCTATCTATAAATCTATAATATTGTTTACAAAAAAAGTGAGTGAAATTCCTAACAAACTTGAAAAAATTTTTATAATACAATCCACATGGTAGGACCTGACTCTATACCCTATATTATGACTTAGTCGTAATAATAAAGATATAAGAAATCACAATTTTTTCAAAGATAAAATACTAAAAACCAAATAAATTTAAACATTTTCTAATTTGTAAAGCTTAGCATATTTAGGAGGATGAAGAATATACCCTGCCTGTATCCCACCAAACAAACAAAAATAATAATAATAATAATAATAATAATAATAATAATAATAAAATGGTATCAACTTTTTTAATGCAGTGGAAATAGTGGATTTTTACTTTTTAAAAAATTATCACTGAAACTGGAGAAAAAGAAACTACTCCTTTATAAGCAAAGATATTTAAAATTTTTTTCTACATACAATTTTAGCCTTTTTTGTTCCACACATTATAAAAACTGTCTCCACTGTTAGATAAATAACATAAGACAGACTAAATTAATTTCAAGTCAGATACACTACCTCCAACAACGATGTTCACCATTTCTTCTACAATGCTCTGTACAATGTCTTGTGGCTTTTCCTCACAGTCATGGTTTTCTCCATCATATAATATATCATTTTTAGACAATGCTTTAAAGGAGAAAAAATTTAAGAAAATATTATTTTAGCTTTTTGGAAATTTTTACTAAAAATTTATAATGGAAAGAAACCTAAGAAATTAAGAATAAAAGAAAAAAAATCAAATAGATATATGAAACTAGATGCAATTATTCTTTAAATCTTCAAAATTTTTAACCAAACCATATTTTTAAGTGTTTTATAATTTCAAGTCAACTTCAAAAATGATTCATTTGACAAGCTATTAATATTAAATAATTATTCAACTTCAAGTTTTCTAGAAGATTAATCCTTCACATTAATCCTTTAAATTACATTAATCCTTTAAAAATAAAAAAATTTTAAAGTATTCTGAAGGAAACATTTCTAACATGTCCCACACGCTAATCAAATAATATTAAATGCAATTAAACCTTGTTTTGATTAATGACACCCACCAATAACAACAAGCTCATTCTGTGCTCTAATGTAATGAGGTCACTGAAGAACAAGAGACAGGGGTATCTGGGCCCTTCCTTGCTATTTCTTTCCCAACAGACTCCACATATCCAATGTATTAATAAAACTGAATTTAATAAGTAAAAAAGCATTCATCCCTCAATTTAACACTAATTGAAAACAGATATAACTGCCAATCAGGAATTCTGAACACATAAGAAACTAATAAAACTTGATAGAGCTGGTGAGCCTGTACAGACTATTGCAGATAAAAATAGGATTTCCACTGAGTTTTCTGAAATGCTGAAAGTATCTCCAGAAGGCTTAACCAGCACTTTATGATGCTTTGGGAACTGGGACCCTGTTCTGGGAGCCACTGCCCTACACCAAATGGCCCCAGACCGCATGTGAGCCGATACTGCTATAGTCTACACATCCCGATCTCCACTCACCCTACCAAAAAGAACCACTACTTATAACTCTGGCTTCCAGAAGTCCATTCTTCCTACTGTTCACTGCTCCTAATCTACTGTTTGCTGCATTCTGCAAAATACTGAATGTCACAGAAGAAATTTGATAAATAAGCATGTCAAGACAGTAACTTTACAAAAAATTCAATACAACAGCATTTAGATTCTTCCGTGGAGTAAAAACATAAATGTCTTGAGAGATAATCTTTCCATCACTCTTAAGGTGTGTGTTTCTGCACTCTACTTGGCTAAAATTACCAAGAGTCTAAAAATTAATAGTTTCAATGTAACTAAATACAGTCACTAAATTTTGCACAAAATGATTAGAGAATCAAAAGTCAATTTTCTTTTAAGTCATTTGATAGAAATAGATTAAAGTAACAGTGAAAAATATTTATTACACATGGGAAACCATTACAGAAGCTAACTGTTATGGCTGAAGTCACATAACCAGGAAGTGTCAAGAGATGTGATTCAAAGCAGATGACCCCATTCCAGAGCATGTACTCTGAACCAATGGCTCACAGGCAAAATTTTCATTTATATAGCTACTGGGAGAAAAACACCTTTAAAGCCAAAGTAATCACAATATGATGCAGGAATTATGTTGTATTTGTAGCTTTGTATCCTGAAAGCACCTACAGTGGTGTCTACTACACAGCAGCTGCTTCCATTCCTTGGTCTCAGCCTATGTTGTTTTTTCTGTTATAAAACTTCCTAAATTTTCTAGCCAGTCAACTCCTACCTTTACCCAAACAAGGTCCAGCTAAAACATCACTTTTTCTACAAAAGTGCCTCCTAATTTTCCTCGACGGAATTATCTCACGCATGCCACTTGCAGGCTATTTATCACACTGTAACTCATTCATGCGTGCCTGACCCTCCAGACAACGGACACCCTGAGAGCAATGGCTACACCTTTATCAGCTTTTAACCCCAATTCCTCGCGCAGTGCCTGGGACACAGTATTGGAAATCAATGTTTGCTGAGTGCATGGATGAAGAAATGAGGAATAAATAAAGTTGCAGCTTGCTTATAGATTAGCTCTTTGAATCAGTCCTTTTATAAGCTTACAGTGAAAGAAGGGGAACTTTTATCAAGGGCAGACTAGAAAAACATAAATCATATTATAGGTAGTGTGGATTCACTATTAGTATGAGCCCTGAGAATGCCTGGTTTATCAAAAGTGTCCCTTTTAAAATAAACACTGAATAAAGCACTATATAGGAAAGTAAAAAGCCACCTATTCATGCCACTGCCAATGTTCATGCCACTGTTACAGAAAACATGTGGTTTAAAAAAGTCAAGAGCTGAAAATATACTATAGAAGATTCTCCTCAAAGGAAAATGAAAACAGAATTCAGATGAACTGTAACTAAACTAACCATCCTAACTCTATTGGGAAGGTAACAGAATTTTCATCATTTTTTGACACCAAGCTAAGGAGGGATGAAGGGAAGAAACTCACTGCCTGGCAATTTTATAAAACAGCTAAAGCTGAGAACAATGTTTGTGGGGAAAAATGATTGCCTGTGATTATTTTTAGAGAAACAAATTTGTAATATAAATAAATAGTTTAATTTTTGTAGTCTTGTAACTTTTCTTATAAATAAGTATACTTAGAAAAAACAGTGCCAGAGAATATCTAAATATCATTGACTATTACATGTCAGGATTTAAAAATAAGTATTTTTATATGTCAGGTGGTTACCCAAAAGATTTCTTTTCATATTTAGTTTCAGTACTCTTTTGACAACAGTATTTTGTGAATTTAAAATGCTGTCCTAAAATTTTCAGTCACATTCCAGAAAACCTTACAAATAAATAGGTCTCCTGTTTGCTATAAACTAATTTTAAGAAATCTGAAGCTCCTACATAACATGCTCACAGACATTTATGACCCTCTTTAGTAATGTATCTCCTCCAAAGCCCATCTGTAAATCATCCTGCTTGTGAGATACTAATGAATGCATAATATCGCTAATAGATGTCTTGTGGGCTTAAGTGAAATTAACTTTACCAACTAAGCTGGAAAAAGTCCACAATTACCACAATGTGTCCAATATCCATTAGTTCATATTACTCTTTTCACACTTCTTTACCAGAACTGCCTTCCTACATTCTTCCCCTAATACACACCCTCCCAGCTCGCAAACCCTTTCTCAAAAAGATTACTTTCAGCTGCAGTTGCCTGATCAGCTTCGGTCTGCTCATTTTCTGCACTGGAAATATCAGATCCATTTTCGGGCTCTGTATCATCCTGAAGGCTTTTATCCACATCATTTGTCTGGGGATCAAGGTCCCCTTCATGTTCTTGGGATATGTGATCAACAGTCTGAGGTGGCAAGTATCTGAGTTGAGGTGATTCAGGCTCATGATGGCTTACTGGAGACTGCAACAGATGGTGGTGCTGTCGATGCCTTTCTTTTTCCATTTGTTTGGCTTCCTGCAACTGCAAAAAAAGAAAATAATTTCCTGTATTTGGCAATAAGAACAGAGATGGACGTCTTTCACTATATCTCTCGTCAGTATTTTTGGTGTTTAAATGATGTAAATGTATTACTTAAAAGAAAAAACAATTTTTTTCAATAACCTTAGGATGATAACTAGATTGCTGCCAACAGAAAAGCAGACTTACCTAAAATCAGATAAAAGTTTCACCAAGGAAGGGAAAAAGTAGACGGGGAAATAAAATACACACACATTCATTTTTACTTATATATACAGAAACAAAGTCTAGACATATATATAAGAAGCTAGTAATAATGGTTACCTATAGGGGACAGAAGTTAGGAAGAGTGGAGGGAACTTTTCAGTGAAAACCTTTCTGTAGTATGTTCTTCTGTCAACTTGTCAAATGTATTAAAAATAATAAAATTACAATGAATAAATAAAATGGTAGTAAATACTTAAATGCCTCTGCCCAATCAGTCATTTAAAGAATGAAAAAAAACTATCTATAAATGTTCCAGTTTTATTTTAGGAGACCTGTCATTATTATGTATATAATACCACATGTAAAACTGGCTCACTTACAGGATGCTAAAAACAGTAATAGTCAAGATCACAGCATTTCATTTTTTAGCACTTTATTGCTTTTAAACACATCTCCTTTGGTCTTCATGACCTAATAAGAAACATTCTCACAAAATTAATTTCCACAAAGATAAATACTTTACAGTGTCAAATATGAACATTTCATACTCCTAGTAACATTCCAGGTTATGTGTACCATAAAACTAAAAAAGAGGGGATATATGTGTATGTGTATATATATATTTTTCTTTTTGATTCACTTTGTTGAACAGCAGAAATTAACACAACATGTGAAGCAACTATATTCCAATAAAAATTAATTTTAAAAAATTAAAAATTCTAGGTTATGTGGAAATACCAGAATTAGCTATATGAATTTATAAATTAAAGTTGAATTAAAATATTTTAATTCTCAAAAGGTAGGAAGAGACTTATAATCTACACCATCTAACTCCCGTGTTTTACAGATAAGGAAACTGATGGGCATGACAAGTTGCACACAGAATCAGAAGAGACTTCTCAAACCAAAGCTTTAGCCCATTTATGAGAAAGTCAATTTCCAAATTAACAATGAGGAACCTATGACCTGCAGTCTTGCCCTCAGCCTAACCTCAGCTAATCTGTACCATGGTTTAGTAGGGCACGCACACGCTTTGGAACTACAGATAAGCACAGTGTTGAATTCTAGCTTTTTTCTACTTATCCCAGACTTGTATAAATTCTAGAAAGGCTCCTGAAAATAACCTTTAAACATTTTCTATATACTCTCACACTTACTAGAGGATTTCTCAGCATCAGTACTACTGACATTTGGATCAGAGAATCCTTTGTTATATGTGAGTGGGGTTTGGATGGGGTGGATGCTGGCTGGTATACTGAACAGGGTTAGCAACATTCTAGTCCATGACAGGTCATGACTCACCCCAGTAAGTGTCTCAAAAGTGGCTTTGGGTACCTCCAATTGAAGACGACCACTCTAGAGAAAGAAACTAGCATTTTCTCCTTTAAAATAATTTTAGAACTGAACACTTTATAGTGATTTTATTTGGAAAGGCAAGGAAAAGTTATCAGTAGTATATATAAATGAATTACACTTCCAGCTTAGAATATTTTAGCATACGTGGAAAATCACTGTCCCCCTTTTAATTTTCACTCTCTTCCCTTTCCTACTTTTCTCTAATTATCCATAGCACAGGAGTAAATATGCTTCATGACTTGATACATGTTCATAGCCTTTATCATAATTCAGTTATATATTTATTTGTGTGATTATTTAAGACTCACTTTCCCCTCTATGCTCCACGGACTTTAAACTCTTTGAAAGTAATGGTCATTTAGTGCTGGTTTTGTTTAGCACTGTATAACTGAGAACAAGAACAGTGCCAAGAACATAAAGAGAACATAGCATGATTTGCTGAACAAGTCAAACCAATAAAATTTGTATTTCTTATATTTCTGTTATTAAAAAGTGATAAAGTTAGTCTCATTCACTTCTTCAAAAAGCAGCAAAACCATTTTTTGTGGTTGTAAAATATGAGCAATAATCCAATGCTAATAATCTAAAACACAGGACAGTGACTGAATAGACTATGGTACATCCTTGAGTACTAACTACACCATCTGTCAAAAAGAATGAGGAAGTTCTCTAAGGGCAGACATGGAATGCTTTCCAGGAAATACTGCTGACTGCAAAAAGTAAAGTATGAAAGAGTATCCAGAGCAGTGTGAAAGCCAGTCTTTCTAGGACGGCCACCAACCGTCTCCACTTCTGACCCTCACCTCCCAGTAGAGTCCCCTCCCACACCGTGCGAGGGTGGTCTGGGTGATACTTCAGATCATGAGACAGACAATGTGTAATGGCTTCTGCCTTGTTTCTCTTTCTTCTCATTCTCTAGCCCAGTAAAGGCTTTAAATGATCCCCTCCCCAGTTAATACTATGATCCAAGCAGGCAACTAACTGCAACCTCATGTGAAATCCAAGCCACAGCCACCAGCTAAGACACTCAGGTTCTGGACCCTCAGAAACTATGAGAGATGAGCAGCTAAACTGTGAGGTTTAAGCAGCTGAAGTCTGGGGTGATTTGCTATGCAGTGATAGGTAACTAATATAGTATGCTACCTTTCATGTAAGAAAGGTGATACATGAAACCATACATGCATGTGCTCACTTGTGCTAAAGAAATGCAGAAGGATAAACCAAAAACCATAGAGATTAGCTACATCGAAGAGGTGGAAAGGCAGGAGGGAGAGGACTAGCATGATAAGAATGGGTATACCTTTTGTAGATCTCTAACTCTTAATGCACAGTATGGTTTAATATACTCAAAAAATAAGCAAGCAATTAAACCAGAATGTGAGGGGTATTGAAATGGAAAACAGGCAGTAATAAATGAAATTAATTGTATTATAAAGTAATAATATTATCCCATTGAAGAGTATGGAGAAGAAAAGAACTAACCTAACTCACTCTGGGAAACATTCTAAATGGATACTATAAGACTGAAGACAAAAACAAAAAAACAAATATAAATGTTATAATGTACCCAGTAAACTTGCTTCTCACAGTGGAATGAGTCAGCAATTCAAAAACTATCTTATGTATATAATAGGCCTGAACAAATAATGTATCACAGAAAATGAAAGCCTTTTATCTCACTGTATAGAGAGAGGAAGTTACAAATGAAGACAGGAGACTGAAATGAACCCTGTGGTATTGGATCAGAATTATCAGTATGAACACATAAGTTTTAACTTATATGTATGGGTAGTTACCTACAGATGTGGGGGAGGTGGGGAAGGGCGGGTAGTTAGTATGCACACATATATTTCCTAGTTTAAACTGCTGAGAGGGAAGCAATAACAACCTAGCTCCAACAAACACACCTAGCACTTAGAGTTTGGTTTCTATTACCATTCTCTAATCAAAGGAGCCAGGGCTCCCTGTTTATGCGTCTACTACTCCAGGCGTAAAGTAGAAAAAATTCAAAATGAGCCAGGAACATCTTGAGATTCCAGAAATACTCAAAAAAGGATAGGGGCTTGTCAAATAGGACAGAAGGCCAAAGCTGGAATATTTGGGGCAACAAAATAATGACAGAATTAGATTAAAAACCACAGAATAAACACCCATGAATACAGACTAATATAAATTAAAAACTGAATGAAAAAATACTAAAGGAGAATTAACTCTGGTTAATAAATATATAAGGAGAGAGAAACAAAAACCCTCACCAGAAAAACACTACAGTAATAACTGTTGCCAACAAGATCTACTGAGGGATATTCAAATTGGGTGTGGGGGCGTATGAAAGAATCTCCAAGATATTTATTAAATGTAAAAGAATACATTTTCAGTAGAAGAACCTGGAAGATACCACTTTAAGAAAGTAATCAGGGTTACTGTACTTAATAGTATTACACCAGTGTGAATTCCTGTTTCTCAACATTATAATATCATTATGCAAGATGTCGGTATTAAGAAAAGCAGAATAAAGAGAATCTCTCTGTAAATACTTCCGCAATTTCTAAGTTTAAAATCAGTTCAAAATAAAAAGTCAGAAGTTGGTTTGCAATTATGAAGACCTAAACAATTAAAAAAGATTCTCTAGCTGTTGGTCTCTTAATTTCCTCCTCAAATATATTCCATTACTATAGAAATTTATTTCACTTTTTAAAGGCTCAATGAATAATTTTCTATCAGAATAGATCAAACTAGGTAACTTTATAACTACATTCACTCATCTAAGCTTGAGAGCAATAAAAATATCAATTCATAGACACTTCTATGAGGATGATGCCAATCAATCTGTATCTTTCAAACTCTATTTGTGATGAAAAAAACAATTTTTAATCCGAAACTAAACAAGTCAGTAAGCCAGTCAAAACAGAACAATACCACACATCTCTAGTACATAAAACTATAAACGAAGATATTTTCTGCAGTCACAAAAAATTTTATTATAATTTTTGCAAAATCTTTTCTATAGTTGATGCCTGTGGTGTTCTATACCATCTCTCTCATTTTTTAATACTTACTGCTTGGTTTTCCATGCGTGCAAAGATAACATTTAACATCTGAGTAAGAGTGGCTTTGGCTGTTGTCTGATTGATGAGATTTTTGCTTGCTAGGTATATATTGTAACATGTTCTCACAGCTTGCAGTACAGTTCCTTCATGAATTTCTATGTGTTGAGATGTTACTGCAGTTAGTAAAGCCTAAAAAAAAAAAAAGAAAAAGAAAACTAAGATAAAGCAATTTTTCACATCTAGATTTTCAACACAAAAATACATGGCTATTTTTGTATCAGAATTAAAACTTTCAGACACCATTACCACTTTAAGGTAAAGTATACAAGAGTTTCTACCTACCTTAAATGTATCATCAGCTGTGTCATTTTAACAGAAATATTATTTTAGTCTACTAAAATGCACAGCATTAATACTGTCATAGTATAGCACAGATATATGCTTCATATGTTATATCTGTTGAACTAAATGTCAACTTTACAGAATACATATTGTGTCCTATTCACTTTCAAATTTTTCTGAGATCTAACTTATAGACTGAACTCAGTGTGTTATTGTTATTATTGAAGATACTTGCAAATATTTTAAAATAAAACATTAAAAATAATCCTAAGGTGAATTCTCCAATAAAATGAACAGCTTTAATGTATGTGAACTGTCACACGTTACTCAATTTCTCAAAAGCAAGGACTTTGTATCTTTTGTCCTTCCATTAATATGCTATTCAGTGCTATGCAGGTCAACATCGAGCACATACTAAACAAACCACAACTGACATGAAACTGCAAATGAGAGGCCAAACTGGATCGCTTTTTTAGAATCAAGATATTTTATGACTTATGAAGAGAATGCTGCTATGAGACTGAAAAGCTCAGAGGGCACACATTATACATGTAAACTATAGAGGAACACATTATACATGTAAACTATGGAGGAATACATTATACATGTAAACTAAAGTACTAATAGTATAAGAAAATTTTGCAGACAAATCAACATACCACCACTATTATTAGCAGTAACATTAAAAATTGAGTATTTACACAGCAGACTGAAAACACAAATGAATGATTTTTCTTTAAAGGAGTTTAATGATCCAGGTGTATCAGAGCACAAACCTAGGACAGGATTACCTGAGCAGGTTCAGCAGACTGACGGATGCAAGGGAAGCAGGGAAACTGGTGCACAAGTGTTTCACATGGTGAAGCCTGGGACTAGAAGGCAGACTACAAGGGGTACGACAGAAGAAGAAACTAGAAGGGTCACAGGACCTTCACATGGGACCTTAAAGCTCGAAAGATAAAATCATGCCAGAAACTGAAAAGCTCTGCAAGATTCTGGGGGCCTAAACTGGGACCTTCAAAATAAGTCTCCCCTAGTGAACTCTCAGCATTTAACAACAAAAGCCCCTGAAACAGAATCTAAAAAGCCCCCAAATGAACTTTATCTTATCTGGAAAGCACATAGAATGACTTTTCCCAATGCTCTCAAGGTAAAAGTCATCTGATTTTAAAAAGTACAGATAATGAATAACAAATTCAGTTCTTATAATTAATTACCTTTATTATTTGTAACTGAACTCCTTCATCTGTTTGAGGACCTTGGAAACAGCCACAAATTGTTTCAATAATTCTATCAATTAATTTTTTGCCTGGTGTTGTACTATCTGGAGCATTGCCAGTCAAGTGCCCATAAGCAATAAGTTTCTGAAACCAAGAAAGAAGATAAAGATCCTAATTAAGCTAACAAATATATATATACACACACACTAATGAAATACACATTAAAATTATAATATACAAATTGATTATATGTTAAAGTTTTTACACAAAAATATTAAGATATAGTAAAAGTCAAGGCTATACCAACTTTTCCTGAAGAAAGCTTTATTAGCTATAAGCATGTGAAATCATTTACACTTGTAATAATCACAAAAACAGGAAAATAATGATAACAAAACCATCAGGTAATACTCTGACAAAGGCAGGCCTTAGAATTTGTCTCTGATGAGTTGTAACAACTCATTGCTTTCTATCCAAAAATTACTGATACTGCTTTTGTGAAAGCTATCTTAACACACTCAAACGACCCAAATCTTTTTTCAAATTAGATCTGTGAATATGCTGAAAACCCAATTTCCACACACTGGCCACAATGTATCACAGATTTGTTCATGTATCATTACCATTACAACCCTGGAAGGAAGGCCTTAGATATTATAATTTTAATCTGTCAGAGAAAACAAGGTCACAAATCAAATGAACTTATCCTTAACCTATCTTAACAACAAATCATATGGATATGATCTTTTGTACTCAACTGTCAGTTTAAAGGGTATAATCCCAAAACAGTGAAAATACCCGAAAAGAGAAGGACTCTTTCTCTGGAGGTTTGTCTCACAAATATCTAAGAGAATGTGCAGACACACATGTGGGCACGCATGTTTGTCTGTGTAAGTAAAATAGGAAGACAGAAAAGAATTTTCTGATATAAATAAAGGTGAGTGCTAAAATTTTGGAGTAAGTATAAATATTGAACTGTTAATATTAACCTACTGCTTTACATAAAACAGCAAGCATCTAGTAAAATCACTGCAAATAATGAGGTATGTAAAATCACCAGCAGGTTAACTTTCATTATTAATAACCTTAGAAAAGACTGCCTCTCACTAAGCTAACTAATGACTTGTATTACCCTTAAACTAGAAACATCTTTTTGCAACTACTGTTTCTCTTGAGTGTAAGAAACCATTTAGTTTCTTATCATAAAAATAATCATCAAGGCTTTCACAGAAAATGCCTGAGCTATTCATCAACTGTAACAGATAGGAATACATACAAATTAGAGGGTTTTTAGATAGTGCCATTTTATACATACCTGTAAACAATCTAGAGATGTACTGACTATGCGAGGACATTTGGACTGGCATGCCAATTCAAAGGGGAGGAAATACTTGTCTGCTTCGATAAAATTTGTCTTTGATTTCACTGGTGGAAGGGTGCTTGATCCAGCTCTTGCTTCTCCATGAGGAGGACTAAAGGAAAAAAGAAGAGTTTGATTAGAATATCATATTCATCATCTTGATGATATTCTCACTCTAATTCCAGTTCTAAAAGGCACTGTGCTAAACCAATCTTCATTTTCTCATATTTCATGAGGAAATCAAAGCCCAGAGAAGTTAAGTGATTTGCTATAGGTCGTAAGCTAGTCATCAAAGCTATAACTAAATGCAAGGAAATTATTTAAACAATTAATTTTTAAATTATATAGGTTACTAAATATTTAGTAATCTTTCTAAAAATGAATCAGTCTTTAAGCAAAGACAAAGCATACCTTACAGTATTTCAGAAATACACTTATTTATAAAATCTTTTTGTATTTATGTTTATATTTCTCAAAATCATTTTTTAAAAATTGATTTTATTATAAAGACCACATACAGAAAATCTGCCACATCCAATAGAGATGATTACATTATTATTTTGCCAAGACTATTAAGTTTGCAAATTATTTTTACTGAAGAAAAAAAACCCCACAAACCTCTGCTTTTCAGTTTCCGCTTTTATTTCCTCTGGTTGGGGGCAGGGGGAGAAAAGAAGCATACATTAGAAAACTTGACAAGAGAAAGATCATAAAACTAATTTGATTACAGGCTTTAATTTATAACTTCTATAAGATGTTGGGAAGAATACAATTTCAAAAAATATTAGGTACTAAAACTGTTGCTGCCAAATGTAATTTACACAAATAATATAATTCTATAAGACTTATGAGGAACATACATTAACAACCACAAGAATAGGTACAAATTACAGATTACTAATTTTCAAAGCATTTCCTTTTCTCAAAGTAGTTTTTTCTTGGGGGAGGAGGGTCAAGTTAGTATTTGCATTAACCAGAGGCATTAGTATTAAGAAGACAATATGTATACTGTATTCAAATGACAAAATATAAGGCACATGTGGGTAAGGAAAATAACTCAAGATACCCCCTTGGGATTATCTCAAGGAGATTATCAGGCCAGGACAATAACTTCTTGATATAACTTGATATATAACTTCATGTTACAGATGTGTTGATATTTAACCAATTTTTCTACTTATGACTATACAAGGCACTATAACATAACATGCCCAATTTAACAGGAAAATTTCCCTTTTGCTGTTTATATCCATAAGAGATGAGGTAAATTTGAGGAATTGTACCTGTCACAGAATAACGTTAAATTTAATAATAAATTGAGGAATCTGGTTAATTGAGTAAACCTATAGGAAATTTGTAAGAAAAGCATTCAAATATAACATTAATAATAACCATAATTATTGAGTATTTACTATAGGATAAGCACTATTACGTTTTACATGGACTAACATATTTCTTAACTTGTAATAAGTGCCCAGTAACACCTCATTCAAGGAAACTGCCTCTCTGATGAATCAGGGCTTGAAAAGAGTTTGCTTTAGGTTGGCCTTCAACAGTAGAATCAAGTACAGTTGACCTTTGAACAAGGTGAGGGCTAAATTATAGTAAGCCCTCCACTTTTGCTGTATCCATGATTCAATCTACCAAGGACTGTGTGCTACTGTAGTATTTACTACTGAAAAATATCCATGTACATGTGCACTCATGCAGTTCAAATCTGCACTGTTCAAGGCTCAACTGTAAACTAATTAATTCTCAATTATTAAAGAAAAAAAAAACCCAGAAGAAACAAAATACTAAAGTATCAAATTAAGAAATAGTATACTCAAATTCAAAACCACTGGGTGCTTAACTGTGAAATATTTTCCCATTGAAGTCAGAATCATTACAAGGATGACCACAAACAGCAAAATAGTTCTGACATTGCTCTGGAAACACTAGATGATGCAAACAGACAATACCAGATGTGATAATAAAAGTCCTTACTCTTGAGCTGAAGTAAGACAAAAACCAGACACTGGATTTGTTTGTTTCGTGATATTTAGTTATTTTTAAATATGTAGTCATAACACTTTACTACTGAAATTCAGGAATCATTGTCTCTCTAGCTATTAACTTGCCCTATCCCTTCACAATCATTTTTATATAATGTTTTTAAAACCTTAGAAACAACCACTGTATTATATATAGAAGGAAAAGGTTAAACATTGGAGGAAATAGGTCAGTGTAAATTAGCATAAAAAGTATAGATTTTAAAGTATTTTAAAAGGAACACAAGTTTTATTCCTTTCGGGTACATTAAGTTACTGAAACAAAGTATATTAAATTACCAGAACAGTTAATAAGGCACAGGACCTGTTTAATGAGCAGGAAAGAATGATTTATTAAAAAAAAAAAAAAAAACCAATCACAAGCAAGTTATGTACTTGGTTCCCCAAGTATATTCAATATTCTCTCATAATGATTTCCATCAACTTGCTGAGCAGTTTTCTTTTCCCCCACTGACAGTACAATATAAACTTCAAAATGACATTTATACAGATTTCAAGAAATTCTATTAAAATGCATATGCATGATACATGTGATTTATATCTACCTCTGTTATCACTTCACTTCTCATGACAGCACTGTCTTACAGCTTACAGAGCAACAGTACTTAATCACTCAATGCAAACTGATAATTTAAGAAAGCGAAGTGAAAGTTGCTCAGTTGTGTTTGACTCTTTGTGATCCCATGGACTGTATGTAGAGTCCATGAAATTCTCTAGGCCAGAATCCTGGAGTGCGTAGCCTTTCCCTTCTCCAGGTGTTATTCCCAAACTAGGGACTGAACCCGGGTCTCCCGCATTGCAGGCGGATTCTTTACCAGCTGAGCCACAAGGGAAGCCGAATCTAAGGAAAAGTGAAAATGAAGTTGTTCAATCTTGTCCAACTCTTTGTAACCTCATAGACTGTAGCCTACAAGGCTCCTCCATCCATGGAATTTTCCAGGCAAGAGTACTGGAGTGGGTTGCCATTTCTTCCTCCAGGGGATCTTCCCAACCCAGGGATCGAACCCGGATCTCCCGCATTGCAAGCAGACAATTATACCATCTGAGCTACCAGGGAAGCTCCCAATCTAAGGAAAGACAAAGCCAAATGAAGAGTCTGTAATAAACATATTAAAACTCACACGGCCAATGTACTGTCTCTTTCAAAGCCGTAACTGTGGGAGGTTATGCTTCAATTATCATAATACTGCCAGTATTCAAAAATATTTGTGGAATTCATTGTTTGCAGTTCTTTCCTGCCTTCTTCCTTCTTTTAAATGAATAATCTCATAGAAGGAAAAAAATCTCTAGAAAAGGAATCAAATTCTAACCACCAATTAACCACAAGTGGTTTGGAGCCAAGCATGAAGAATGGTATGTGACCTCAAAACAAAACTTCTTAAATTCAGTGCTTCTGCAAACCATGGCAAATTGTGAGTGTGCAAGCAGTGTTTTAGAAAAAGTATGTAACTCTCATTAGATTCTGAAAGAAGTCTGTAACCCAAACTATAAAAAGGACATAGGATTAATTAAAAGCAGTAATTTGGATCAACGATGACTATACATTTAAGCAATTTTAAACAAAACATTTCTAAAATACTACATAAATTTAAGGGATCACTTTGAAAAATAACATGCCTTTGGATGTATATATATTGTTAGGTTTACTTTTTCAAAGCCAATTCTATGACTTTAGCATCACATTTCATACAGTTAAGGATTAAACAAAAATACAGGCATTAAATAGAATGTTACAGTATTTACAAAAGAGATAATGGCTTGAACAAAAGCTATGACACCAGGGATGAGTAAATGTGATTCCATGGACATCGTGGGAGGAAAAAGAATGAAGCAATCTCATTTATCTAGGAGGAGGAAAAGGAGCAAGAAGAGAAGATGGGGCTTGTCTAACTGGATAATAAAGGTACCACTAATTACACAGTTTTCTCCCTGTGAACAAGTTGGGGTGAAGGTGCAGGGGTGAAGATGAGGAAAATTTTGGTCATGTTTTGTTTTAAGCAATGGGTATGTTCAAGTGGCAGCATTCAGCAGGCACTCAGGTATATGAATTTGAAGATCAAGAGATAATGTGACAGACTGTGTTTTCAAAAATGGTCACTATTTTCCACCCCCACATGCTTCTGAAAAGTGACCTTACACACCCCACCAAGAGAGACAGTCTAATTTCATCCCCCTTACGTACAGCTGGCCTCGGAAATTCATTCATAACCACCAGCATACAGTGGAAGTGACAGGGAACACCACAAAGATTCAGGTCAGAAAAGGCCAAGCATCTCCTGACCAATTCTCCTGGATTGTGGGTCTCCAGACACCCACTCATGGAACATAAAGGCCCTGATGTGGGAAGTCCAAGCCATGGGAAAGCTGTATGTAAACTGTTCAGTCAACAACACCAGCTGAGCCCAGCTTTCAAGTCATTACAGCCCAGGCACCAGACACGTTGAGTGAAGAAGCCTCCCGAGGATTCCAGTTCTCTGCCATTCATGTCTCCCCCAGCATTTGTGTCTTCTCAGCTGACTCCTGACACTGGAGCAGCAACATGGCTCACCTGAGTTCCTGACACGCAGAGACTCTGAGCATAATAACAAGGTCGTTGACTCACACCACTAAGTCTTGGACTGGTTTATCACACAGCAACAGGTAACTGGGGCTCCTCAGAAAGGACCAAGGAGGCGGGAGGAGACTGGGGTTTGAACTAACTCTGGCAAATGGGGGAGAGAGCTAACTGAGGAGTACATATACAACAAAAATATCCTGTATTTGTGTAGCACGTTACAATTTACCAAGAAGTTCTACATATATATTAACTCTTAGAACAGCAGACAGAACTGTCGACATGTCTATTTTACAGATTAAATAACCTGAATAAAAAACCTGAAGTGACTTACCCAAGATAACAAAAAGAATTTAGGATGGTATAAGTGTGACTTTGCTATGGAATAAGCCTAAATCAAATGACTAAATTTCAATGACATATTAATTTAAAAAGAATATTAATTTTAGAACGACGCTATTTTAGTAGTTTTCCAATGTGCCATACAAGTTCTAACAAAACAAAAAACCACTGTGCTGCCTGTTAATTCAGAAATAGAAAAAAAAAATCCTATTTTGAAAATCAAAATTAGAAACGTAATTTGAATAGTAAATATTTCAACTCAATAATTCTTCCCATTTCCTGACTTCATGTATAAAATACAAAATAAAAAATCTCAATAGAATTCAGATCAAGTGACTGTCTAATGACACTAAAGGAATAAATATAGGTAAGCCAAACTTAAAGAAAACTAAGTGAAAATAAACACTTAGTGAAATTACAAATTATGAACATGGTTCTTTAACAGAACTAAATATTTGGACAGAAAGGAATGCAGTGGCTGTCTTCGATCAACAACTTGCAGTGGCTACAGTGAAAATCAACAAGAACAGTTATTGTTCTCAGTGTTAACATCCCTACTGGTAAATAAACAATCAACATTTCATAGATTCTGCTCAAAGGAAGATATGCAGAAGCCACAGCTATGGGATCATGGAAAGAATACTACACTTGTGTAAGTCAGGGCCTTGAGTTCTATTTCAACTTGGCTGCATAAGCAAAATA